AAGAAGGAGGAGAGCCTGGCGTTAGCCGGGCGATCCGACTGGTATACAATAAAGCGTAACCCTCGCCATGGCAAGGAGAGAATGTGGGATCGAGGGTCATAGAGTAACGTTTGCACCATTCGTAGCTGTCTCGACTGTTGCATCAGCCTCTAATTGAAACCCGTCGGGTCGCCCGATTAACACCAGGTTTCTATCCGTCTTACGACAACGTTTTAGTAATCGAACAGCTCGCTGCTCCATTTTCGGAGCAGATAATACTTTTGTGAACCCGAAGTTCACACAGGCAGTACCACTTCTGTGAAGGACCTAAAGGGAGAAGAGTTGTGATGAAGAGGGCACTGCAACGGCATTCGACATGTGCCTATGCTTACGCCTATGATTAAAAGTCTCGTTCGGTTGCTGCTCATCTAAAACAACCGCTCATTAAAGATTTAACTGTTAGCCAACCGAACCCTTGAATGATACCCACAAAAATTTTCGAAAATATAATACTAATATCACTACCCGATGTCGTTATCAATGGAACCTATTTTTCTATGGATATATCGTTAGTCGACAATACCAGATTATGGGCAGTCGAATGAATTTTGATGTGATGCAAATGATCGCAAGTGGTATCGAAATAACCAATAAACCTTGATCCCTCGTCGAGTCACAAACCAGATCTCTAACCGAGTCTGTTGGAAGGAGTTAGTAAGTTAATAGCAAACAGTGAATAAAATTTTCATCTCCTTACAATGAACTGTTTTCATCGACCCTCATCGCTACATTCATCACACACTTTTTGTCGTCTTACTCTACCATTCCATCTCATCGAATGAAACCTACTAAAGAGTCAAAGCTTCAGTGTAAAAACTGAAGGCGTTATATATTTAACTGGTGAGCGGCTCTTCATCTTTCAGATCTTATCAGTTGTTATCAGATCCCCTCATGGGTCATCTACGATCTCACCATACTCCTCATAACATGCCAAGCTGTCAAGGGTCCATGTTGATGCTATTCTTGTGGCATTACCCTTATAGGGTTCATTATAAGCCTTTACCAGTTGTCATCATTTCCCAGCACCACCCGCCTTGGATTCCACCAAGTGCAGAGAATCCATTGCTGACGCGTGCGGCTTAACCTGTTGCTTCCTACAGCTACTTGTCAGCCGATATCAGTCGTAATCAGACCTGTCACCAGTCTTCTATGGTCACTTCATTTCTCACTTCTAACAGGAAGGCTTTATAGAACTAGTGGCTCTTGTCGTCTATGGTTCGTTATGAGTCCCTATCGGTTGTCATAACTTCCCCTCATCTATCATCAGTTTCCCATCCTGTCTTCTAATTCCCTTCCAAATTTAAATGTTCAAAGTTAAATGGGGCAGGAGTTTCGAATTTGCGGCCGGACAAGCACACACACACACTTGCACAGGCTCACACGCGCATACACATTATTAACATTGTATACGTGCGCATACACATATACACTTACGCATACAGCCAACAGGCATTCTTAGTGCATTATTGCAGTAGGGTATCCCAAATGCTCCGACCTCATCAATAGGCATTCTGTGCTTATCAAGCTAACCCGTGAGTAGCCGTGCAAAAGCTGGCTCCCTTTTTCAATGGGCAGGTCAAGCTTATGGGCTGCAACTTTGTCACAAAATGGAAATCGCAGTAGCAAAAATATAATTCTTCACTGGCGGTCAGCGCATCCTTGGCAAAGTAAATGCGCGGTGATCAAAGGCAGTTCCGAACTGCGATCAATGTCTCCACCGGAAAGGATGAAAGAAAAGAGACAGTGGAAATGGCACAGAAAATCGCTAAGTTAAAGGCTACAAACACCCTCCGATCCTCATCGGTCCACGGCAGGTGGTGGCTCCGGAGGGCCTAGTAGAGGTCTTCCGAACGAAAAAAAGAAAAAAGTCGCGATCATGTCATACTTTAGTGAGCCGCCCTGGTCACTGATATTAGCTAAGAATGACTCGGCGTGTAGGAATTCTAAAAATGTCTTGGCAGTATATTTTATTGTAAAAATATTTTGAAGAGAGTATAAAGCGCCATGGTGCGACTAAAGCATACGATATACCCATAGGATCTGTTTTGGAATACGTGGTTTTTGCTATCTTCTGAGGACATGATACCTCCACTTCCGTTGGAAATTATTTTTTTTCTTTCAGGTGGTCAGATGCTGACTTCATGCTACATGGCTGGAAACTTCAAAAGGTAGGTGCAGACGGCTGGGAGAGTCCGTTCAAAAAAAATCTCGATCCCTCGTTGTGTGGACAACATCTAAATGGTTGGGACTGGATTCCACGGAAGCACGTTAACATCTCTGTAATCAAGTAAATTTGCATGTGATTTTGTTGTTTTTCCACACTAAAAACAAAACTTACAATATATCCCATTCTTCTAGAGAGGAACTGAGGGGATTCGAGCGGTACTCGGGTAAGACCTATCCTTCTGCGGCAAGCCAGCTTACGTACCTCTCATTGCCGGATGTTGGTGATTGCTATCCCAAGTGTGGTGATAGCGTCTAATTGTTGGAAAGGATGTCGTTTCGCGTTATATGATCTTCCAGTTTTTTTAAGAGGCAGTGATCACATTGAGCTTTCAAAAGTATGAGCGGAAGAATTCGAGCGGTGTCCCGCGCTCGCCACATAGACTGCGAGTTCCGGAAAGGGGAGATGTGCGCAGCTCTGTACTGATGAACACGATGACCGCTATTCGAGAGCTAACAAGAACTCACCGCTCGACGTGAGCATGGCGAATTTGAGTTTGCCGACCTTCACCCGGCCTTTATCACCTGAAGTTGATCAAATCAACGGCTGAAACCGATAAATGTAAAAAAGACATGTATTTATGCATGAAGTGTCAAGGTTTTAGTTTGCTTGTCCGCTCACTGAGACCACTGCCTCGCATCCATGTGTAGGAAAAGAGCAGATGCTATAACTCTGATCAGTTTGGCAAGCTTCATCGATATGTGGAATTAGAAACATGCATAATGCAACAAAATTTCCCTCGCATAAACAGTCTTTTGAGCAAGCTATTCATTACAACTATATTCCGACTATTTTTACCCTCAGTCTACTTCTTTGTATGTACTGTTTCTCGTTCGACTTCTATTCATGTTAATTAGATCATATGTTAATCATGTTTTGCCGAAATTACCACCTGATTCGAATTATTTAATTTTTTTTGATGTAGAGGAACTTTGCCTCAAAAGCTTGCCATGTTGAGTAAAACTCTGTGCTTACATTTCACGTACTTTTCTCTGTATTGGGTTGATGCATGATTTATTGGCGAAGTTCTTCCCGCCCTTTTTTTCCTGATTCAATTAAATGTTTGAATGTGGATTTTTGTGGGAGTGGTCGCTTTCAGAAATGAAATGCTACAGAAATGCTACCAGGAAATGACCTTCATATCCGCCATATTATGCTCTACCTTACCACTACCAGAGTTTAAAGCATTTCGCAATCTCAACAAACCTGACTCGAAACAATCGTCAGTAAGAGTAGGATCTGCACCTTCATACTCATCGACAGAAGCTCCTACGGACGATCATTGAATCGCTCGTTAAAAGCTGGCTAGGGAACAGAACTTATGACGAATCGGTTGACGATTCAAAAGCATGGATTGCACCCATGAGTCAGTTTTGATCTTCGCTCGAGGAAGCAATCGAATTTCTATCAAATGAGAAGCAGTGCCCGATTTGGGTTATGACTGCGCTTTGAAGTAATTATTTGAACATGTCTCGTTGAATATTTTTACCGCTTTGATGAATAAAACTTGTGGCAAAAATTCGCAATAATTATGTACCAACCTATCAAATTACAGCACAAGATGAAAGCAGGGCAATTACGAGAGGAGACGCTGTCATAAATGATCACGATTTCTCCCCACATATCAAACATTAACTTCCTATATCTCTCTATGAATAGAGCGCTAACTTTGCGTGCCCGTTTGGATGTCGGTTTGTGCGTCCGCCGGCAAAAGTGGCTGCTTTCATAGACCGCCGGTCGGCCCGCGAGGGCGCGCGCGCCGGCCGGGGGACTACTCGGCTTGAAGTATCGATACAGATTCAGTTGTAAACAAGGGGCAAGCGCCGTCTCCCGGCCGGCAGACTATGAAAGCAGCCTATCAGTAGGTTACGAGCGCTTAGCGCAAATTCGAGCGCTCTAGTCCACGGGAATAGGGGTTATGAATGTCTAGTTGGACACACACACACACACACACACACACACACACACACACACACACA